TAGAGACGGATCACTTGGACAGGCTCCTTCCTCTCCATAACTTGTCTTCGTCTCCTATTTGTCCCAGTTTTTATGCATTCTCTTGAATACAAGGAAAGAGCGTCTTTCTAGGAATGTCTTTCTAGGAATGATCTTGTTTCCCAAATAAAGTATAAAACTGGAAGTGTTCATATAGACTGTAGCGGCACAGAACCCTTACAATGACTAGTTTTCCAACTTCACAGAGGCAGAGCGCATTCCCCTTCCTCTTTTCTGACCTCTCCTCTGCAGTTTTCATATGAAGACAATGCCTTGTTTCTGACCTCCAAAGCCATTAAACTCCTCAGGAAGTAATTTCTATCTCTGTATTTTACTTTCCTTGCCACAAACAAAAGATGAGCAACATTTTTAAAACGGATTTGGGACAGCGTCTGTGAAAAACAAAGGAGAACTCTTAATGAAATGGTATGCTAACTTGGACAGATACTGCATGCAGTCTTGCTATGTAACCTGGCTCAAAATAGCAATGCTCAATCTCAAATTAATTCAGTCTACAGATCTGTTTATGTGGGCATCAGTTAGCGTAGGGACAACCTCTAGTTTTATAGTCTGTGCTAATATTGAAGAGAATATAACTTCTGGAAACACATGTAATCAATGCATTATCCTGTCCAGTCCCAACACAGAAAGGTACACTGAATGATCTGATAAAAATCCTGTTACTATGTCTGTCGTGGTTTAAACCCAGTCAGGTAACTCATTCACTCACTCCCCCCCTTCTTTCCCTCTCCCTCCTCCCGGAGGGACGGAGAGGAGAATAGAAAAGAATGCAACTCCCACGGGTTGAGATAAGCACAGTTTAGTAACTAAGGTATAACACAAATCACTACTGCTACCACCAATAATAACAATGATAAAGGAAATAACAAGGGAAGAGAATACAACATCTCACCACCAGCCAACCAATAACTCGCCCCCCCAGCCCGACCAAGCACTGACCCATACCTCCTCCAACCCTGCAGTCCCCCAGCCCTTCCGGCTAACTCTCAGTTACATCCTGGGCATGATGTGCTGTGGTATGGAATACCTCTTTGGTCAGTTTGGGTCAGGTGTCCTGTCCCTGCTTCCTCCTGGCTTCCCCTCCTCCCTGGCAGAGCATGAGGCTCACAAAGTCCTTGGCCAAACCAAAACATCGCTATCAGCTCTGTTCCCAGGCTGAAAGTCAAAACACTGCACTGCACCAGCTACCAAGAAGGGGAAAAATGACTGCTACTGCTGAACCCACGATAATGCCACACTAGTTTTAAACACTAAAGGGTAGCCTTTAATTAAAAATTCCTAATACTGATAGAGATCAGACAGACAGCCATCAGAATATGTGGAAGAGTATTTTCCATGGAAAATATGCCTGTGAAATTTAAAGATGATATGGATTCAAAGTGCAGGCCGGTATGAAGAATATAAACAACATCTCTGATAGAAGAGTTCAGTAATTTGGCAATTAAAATTGTAGCCAGCAAAGATTAATTCATCTGCACAACTAATAAATACAGGAAGTGCACTTGACACTTCAGAAACAGACCAAGGCTGAGACACATTCCTATTCTTCAACAGCTCTCTTTAGACAGGTAGTTATTTCTACTGACAGAAGCTTAACCTCAGCTACTCAGATGTGCACCTTCGTACAACATACAGAGATGAAACCCTTGCCCTACTGAAACTGAGAGCAACCCTGCCATTGATTTCCCTACATCATCTCTCAAGCCATAGTGATACTATTGGTTATGAATGAATCAACTGACTGAGATGATGAAATATGTCAATTTTATGGCACAGTACAACTTTATTAGTGATGCCTTTCACAGGTGTATGAATCTGTATATAAGAGGTACCACCTGGTACCACAAGGCACCACATAGTAAACAGATTTTTCTGTAGACAGAAATTATATCTTCAACTATAATGAGGGGTGGGTGTGTGTGTATATGTAAATAAAAATACAGTTCTTGACACTATATGCAATTTTATGGCAAATAGTTTGTAGCTTTTATCTTTGTGCATAATTAGGAGCCTCTCTGTTTCTGCAAAACTTCATAAGCCATATTAAAACTGAATCGGTAACGGGATTGCGCAGCTCTGAGGTTCATTTCCCTTACATTTTCCATTTGTAGAGGGGATTTTTTTTTTTATAACTAGGAATTTTTTAGGTGTTGAAAAAGTGTTGCTATGAAAGAATGGTACCTCTGAGTATTGGCAACACATTACTATGCATTCAAGAAAACAGGGTTTTTTAACTATAGACGACATCGTAACTGCAGAAAAGGGATGGAAAAGGGTGAGAAGAAAATGGGGAATGAGAACTGATTATTATAAACTAACAAAGCAGCAGACACTGCTGTCCAAACCACTTCTGCTTGGGCTAATGCACTGAACTGCACCAGCCCTTCAAACAACTTCTTCATACGGCGTTAAAGACAGTCATCTTGAAATGCTTCTAAAGTATGAATATTCTCAAATATTTTGACACATGCCCATATTACTGATGGAAATATGATTGCTATTATTACAGTTAGATTTCATGACTTTACATTCCTTTTCTACATGTGGATTTTGCAGGCTGATGTTGACAGTTGAGCAAGTTGTTACAGCTGGTCATCATACATCTGTAAGGAACTTTTTAAAATATGACTTTTCAGTTAAAGGAGGGAATCTTTTTACTGTGGAAAATGTACAGTTTAAATTTTTCACTTTTCTGTGGTTATTCTGGTGATAAATATATTTTTAGGGAAACTTGTGAAAACAACCGGACAAAGAGTTCACAGGTGAAGTAACACTTGAGCTCATATCCTTAGGAGCTGAACCAGGCAATGCAGGGGAAGCTCACAGAGAAGAAGGATTCATCAGCAATACTGTAGCAGCAAAAGGACCCACCTCTCTCTGATAGATTTCACTCTGATGAATCTCTTGTGTGAGTTTTGTTTTACCAGGTTCGACTCCAGAACAGCCACACTCGCATTCTGAGAAATTATCACTGAATGGGCACAGCTGCTGTCAAAATGTGCAGGGAAAATGGGAATGTTTATTTTGGTAGAAAACAGTAATCAGAGATCCAGTCCTTTCTAGAACTGTATTCCCAGCGGTCCTACCCTTTCACCAAGGGGACCTATATCATATTCTCTAAGATCTGCCAAATCAAAATTGTAACTACTACTGAGATGCTAGCATTCTCAGGGTAGTTTAAGAACCCCTTCATACTATGATAGGCAATGCATCAGAATTAATAAGCATGGAAACTGGTAAGGACAAAGTGATAGCTAAAACATCAGAAAGAATTAGACTGAAAGGTGCTGAAAAGCCCAACAGCCATAAACTTCCTCTGTGTGACTGAGGTAAAAGAACACTTGGATAAATGGAGACTGACACAGCAAACAGTTCCTTCTCAAAAGACTTTCAAAAACGCCTTCTACAATATTTCAAGTTGAAAAAAAAAAGGTCTAAGATGCTTGCACATGATTCATTTCAGCAAACTCTATTATGTCAAAAAATCTCAAACAAAAGCCCTCTTCAAATATTTCAGTACGTATGCATTTCTACAGAGCAACCTGAGCTTGAATGGTCTTTCAGTTACGGCACAGAGGAGACTTCCCAAATACATAGGGCTGTTTGTTGTCAACTGCTTCACAGTGTACATTCATGAAAGATGTTTGAGGTTAGGCACTTTCAGTATGTGGAATGTCACCTGAAGAAATGTCATCAGAGCTGGCACTGATGTGGTGTAGGGTAAAAATCAATGTATGCATGGCTTGGCAGTCTTTGCAAGTGTTCAGTTGTAACCTCAAACCTCAAGGGAGGACAGTCTGAACAAACACAGCAGGAGTCCTCAGGCCTTTTCCTCAGCTCCACACACGCATAATACAAGGCTGCTCCTTTCAAAACATCGTAAACCAGTAAAATATCTAGCAGAAGCTGATGCTCCTCTTGTCAGTAGTAACTCTCATACTGCTGCTTTAACACACAGTTGAGGGAATAAACAAATAGTAATGCCATCTGCCCCACCGCAAAAAGGACCAATTTATCAAGCCCAGCAGCAGTGGACAAATCTTGATCTGCTGTGGTGATACAGTACTCACACCCTGAAGGATGAGCCCTGCTGTCATCTACTGATGAACAGCAATGCCAAATGGTTCGCCATGCCTTGATGTGGAAAACAAAGTAATAATGAAACATTCTTCACATATGCAACTACAGAAGCAAATATGATGCTTTTCAGCTCCAAATGCTACATAAACAACAGTAAGTGCTTGACGGCAAAGTGTGACCTTCTTTCCCTTAATATTTAAACATATAGTTGAAAGGATGAATGTTTCACTTGCCATACCAAAGAGGGATAAAAAGGTCAGATTTCTTCTCAAGAAACTACTTTTACAATTACCAACTCAGCAATTTTGAAACTTTGTGTTGATGCACATAATACCGCATTATTAAAAATACTCAGATACAGGTTATGCTATACAAGTTTGGTGTGCTTGAGAAATGAGTAATTATTTAATTGTTCTTCTAAAAACATAGAAGCCCAAAAAACATAGTGAGATTTTCTGAATAATCATTTTAACCAAAATGTTTTCATTACAAATTCCACTTCAGTAGAACGGTAAAGAACCATTCAATTAAGTGTTTCTGCCATTTTAGAACAAGATTTGTCAAAGTAGGAACTTCTGTTTTGTGGAAGAGTCTCTTTTGATTAAATTTCCTCAGGACCAGGGTGACATTGTTCTGAGAAAAGTACTTTATCACAGAAATCAGCCAATCCCCACAGCCTGAGATGTAGGATACACCTGTTCCTAACAGGGATTCAAATATGACTCAAGGAGTCAAGGAAGAAAAGATGTTATTGCTTGCAAACAATGTTCCTTAATCACTTCTGAGGGGATTAGCTGTAACTGTATGCAGAGTCATGCACTGGGAAATCAGTGTCTTACACTTTTGTTAATGCAAGAAAGCAGTTGTATTACTTTACTCACCATCCCATGATTTAGCCATGCTGGTATAAAATTATCGAGCAGCTTTGGGTAAACCAGTTCCCTGTCATAGATATAGATGCTCCAAAACATCGTCACAACGAACTAAGAAGAAAAAACAAGGAAAGACAAAGACATTTTAAAATACATGCTTCTGAACAACTAGCATACATTTTAATAACATTTTAACAAAATTTTAGATAGCAAAATGGGGAATTCAGCAAATGATCTATGGACAGACACAAACATTATAGTTCTTTGACTAAATCCTGTTTTAATCAACAGTGTGAATCTGGATTATTCTTTGCATTGACTGGAGATTTAGTTTTTCTTCCTCTTTTTTCCTTTTTTTTTTTTTGTCTTTCAGCCTGGAAAAAATCTCATTTTTGGACTTACAAGCCTATGACCAAATTACAACTGAATACTATACTTTAGCAGCAGATGTGGCACATATATAATACTTCACCACTAACAGGACAAAAAACAAATGGAAAATCAGGTAGAATATCACATGGAATTCATAGAACATATAAATATGAAACATTAATCTCTGAAGCCTATAAACTCATCTTTGCACTTTTTCATGCCAGACATCAAAACAGCACTGCTTAAAACCAGAATTTTTAACCCTTTTAACTACTCTGCACACAAGTCACGGACTGGGATCCACAGAAAAGAGGTCTAGCATCCTGCTCATTTGTCAGTATGAAATTTGGCTTGGTTCTTGTCAGAGACTATTTACCAGGAGTCCAGAGAAAGACCATTATTTCTTCTAGACTGAGGACAAGACAGACGACCCAGATAAAGTTTGCACTAGGCTAAATTTTTGCCAAAGTGTGCACAAATTCTTCAGAGACCATGATAATCTGAAAAGCAAAGGCAACATATAACCCAAAAAATTTACAGAAATAACAGTTTTAGCTTACCTTAGCTGGGGAAAGAACAAAGTAAGCAATTTTCTAATTAAAACACAACTGCTTTCTTACCTTGAGTTTGAGTCATAGTTTTCTAGTAATAAAAGGCTTATTATTTAGAGCAGTAATACCCAATACCTGGGCCAGAAGCTTTTCAATGACCATTTTCAGGGGATTTTTACACAGTAGCAACAGATCCAAGATTAAAGATTGAGACACAACAGATACGACTTTCACTGAGATCAGCAGGGAAGTATTCAGTTACACCCAAACTGATGTGACCCATGATTTTATGGCTAATTTGGGGGGTCAGTAAAAGAAAGTGCAAGAAATACGGTGTGAGCATAGCAAGGTCAGCAAATTACTACTGTGTGTGATAGCATAGGCATAAGTTGTTTCATATGCTTCTGATTGGAAAGTTAAAACTGAGGTTGCAGTTTATCAATGGCACCTTGTTCTAACCACAGACATGCAAGCTTTGGCCAGCCAGTTATGTGAATGACCTGAACTAGTACACTGTGCCCTCAGTGTGCATACTGTACATAGTTTCTTGGTTTCCAACACACTTGTCCATCTGCTGTCATAGCTGTTGGTGCCTGCTCAGAATAAGCTTGGACTATTTGAACAGAGCACAGAGGCTAGGAGGAAGAAACAAATGAGTTATGATGGACAGCCTGAAAAACATTGGAAGTGTGAAGTACCCTACAAGAAGTCTTGCTGCTGGGCCAGTCTTGGCAATGGCACAGCACAGCTCTTTATGCACCTGCTGACACATAAGTGCCAAGATATGAATAGCTGAACAGCAGGGAAAATGGAAGCAAAGTATCCTCTTCTCTATAGGCTTCCTAGAAGTCATGAATTATCACAGTGGGTCTCTGAGAACCTGCTAAGACCAACTGGGACATAAAAACACTCTCAGGCGCACGAAGAGCAAGGTTGACAGACTTCCAAGAAAGACTTATAGCAAGAAAAATCATCCAGGATTAGGTTGAACCTTATCACACTGAATACAACAGAGATGGCATGTTTTGATCTTTGATTTTTGTGTGGAGCAGAATAGAACAATAGACTTCGCCAAGAAGGTAAAGATAAGAAAAGAGGGGATATGCCATCTGTCCCTTAACCAAAGTCAGCCAATGGATGGAACGGGATCAGCCTAGCTGGTTGCAACCATCTGGAGCTACAGACGGCAAATGCTGCTTAGCAAAGCACTATCACAAGGCAGACATAAGGTAAAGGAAGTGCGCAAAACCCAAGGTGTTACAGAACTAACCTATCCCAGGGGACAGCCGACATGAGACTAACGCAACACCATGGGGAAGATCCCTTCACACGTCTGAATGGTTCACCTTAACTTCCCTTTCAATAAGTTCATTTGCATAAAATGAACTATAAAGATTAACTATTGCACTGTGAACTAAAACAAACTACGAAAATAAACTATTTAGATAAGAAGAATTATCACAAAGACTTGCTGCTTAGCTACCTTGGCTGCTTCCAAATTTGTTTAGATTGATTAATGAGCAACTGTTGTTCTGGTACTTTTACATCACCTCTACTATGCTTACATTTGGTACAGGTAGACTTGCATTTGGGATGGGCTTTGCCAAGACTGTACATGGTCATGAAGTGCAAGACCATGATACAACTGAGCTGCTTCTTTACACTGCCTCTGTAAGGCTTAGTCAGAATTGGAGCTCTTATGCTCACGCTGCGTTCCTTGTGGCATAATTCATCACTATTGTGGAGACAGTCATGGTACTACTGTCACATGCCAGGCTGAACAGGCTGTTCATATGCAGCAGACGTATTTCAGGGAGCCACTTTTATTTTCGTTTGTTCCCAAGGCAAAATGGCACAAACGTCACCCTTCCTCCCTAGACAAACTTGAGGCCTAGAATTCAAAGAAGTAAATAGGCACCAGCAATTTCTTTCACAGGAGCCTCCTAAGATTGCCAGCTTTCCAAAGACAGTGATTACTTAGTTAAGCATAAGGTTAAGCAACATATAAAAGAACACACATGTCCCTCACTTGCTACTTATCCTATCTATGTCATTGCAGATCAAAGGGAACCTCAAATTTGCAAGAACAACTTGGAAACTGCTTGAAAATACAGAGCAGCCCACTTGTCACAGGCCTCTAAAGTATTGCTAAACAACTATACAGAAGTAGGGAAAAAAAATAAGGCTGAAAACTCCCGTTTTCCCACTAAAGGAGATATTCCTTGAAGTTTTGTCCTCTGTCTCTGAAGCTTCAGAGGATATGAGAAAAGCACATAGTGTTGCAAAGGGAAAAAATTTAAAGGACAAGATGGGAAATGGTTGGTGAATCGAAAGGGAAAACAACTGGCTTTATTGAAACACCACAAATGGAAGCAAAGAGAAACTAATAGAGGAAGGCCAGTGAAAAGAATTGCATACTTTGCTGTTTCACATAAGACCAACCAAGAAATGTTACACAAATGAAGAATGAACCCAGGGGAACTTTATTTTCCTGCATTATGTGTTTTTGGTTTTGGCTGAGCTGCACAGTTCAGTTCACTTATTTCCTGGATGGCCTCATGACAAAGGGAAAAAAACCCAAACAACCCACTGACCTTGACAAAATTTCTTCTATGTGCAGTTAAAGGTAGGCTTTCTGGCTAGCTCCCAAGACATTTAAGGTTAACCGCAAGTATAAATATATTGTTTGTGAGCATCTTTGAGGGTTGAAGGCATTGCATATAGAAGCAAACTGTTATTAAAGGCAGACCACAGTAGGCACAACTGGCACAGTTCTGGCTTTAGGTGGGATTTAATGCTAGCACTGCATCACACCAAACGAATTTGAATAGGGCCAATGAAGGAAATCACAAAGGGTAAGAACTGAAAATCAGGGCAACTCCCCTTGGAGAACAGAACTCAGGAGGCAATTGCACCACTGCTCACCAGCCACCACATCACCACAGATGTGTGCAAAATCTAGAACAGCGATTTTGGCATCACTGAATCAGTTATGGAAATAACCCCTTTCCTCTCTCTTCCTGATACTGGCTTTCCTCTGTATAGCTCTGGAAATTTTCTATATAGTGCCTTCCATATACCCTGATATGGTCCAGGAGCACTTTTCAAGTGAGATATGGTAGAATCATAGAATAGTTAGGGATGGAAAGGACCTTAAGATCATCAAGTTCCAACCCCCCTGCCATGGGCAAGGACACCTCACACTAAACCATGTTACCCAAGGCTCTGTCCAACCTGGCCTTGAACACTGACAGGGATGGAGCATTCACAACTTCCCTGGGCAACCCATTCCAGTGCCTCACCACCCCCACAGTAAAGAATTTCTTCTTTATATCTAATCTGAACTTCCCCTGTTTAAATTTGAGCCCATTACCCCTTGTCCTACCACTACAGTCCCTAATGAAGAGTCCCTCCCCAGCATCCTTACAGGCCCCCTTCAGATACTGGAAGGCTGATCATTACTATCCATTAGTAATTATAAAGCAGAAGGTACACCTATTTGGAGGCCTTGCCTGAGCAAAACAAAATGAACTTGAAAATACGCTTTTAAGCTGCCAGAGGGGAGATTCAGATTAGACATTAGGGAAAAAATCTTCACTCTGAGGGTGGTCAGGCTCTGGCACAATTTGCCCAGAGAAGCTGTGGGTGCCCCGTCCCTGGCAGTGTTCAAGGCCAGGCTGGATGGGGCTTGGAGCAATCTGGTCTAGTAGAAGGTGTACCTGCTTGTGGCAGGGGGTAGTGGAGCCAGATGATCTTTAAGGTCCCTTCCAACCCAAACCATTCTATGATTCTATGATTCTATAAAAGTATTTTGTAATTTGGTCAAATAATGAGGAATGTAGGAGACTGCAGCAAATGCCTATGCATCTTTTCTTTGGAATGAGATCCTCCAACAGCATTATTGATGATCTACAGAAGAGGGGTGATCAACTTTTCTTTTGACTGTACCAGTACAAAGAAATGGGAGATAAGAAAACATGCCTGGCTTTCTCTCTTTTGTATCATGGATTTTTAAAAAGATAAAAGTATAATATAAAGAATATGAGATAATTCTAGCCCGTTCAGACTCAGACCCCAACAGGGCTATTAGAGCTATATGCTATAAAATACCAGCGGTAGAGTTTGTGATTTTCTATGCAGCAATCCCTCTCCTAGTATGTAACAATATCAATTTTCTCTCTTCTTCCCATTTCTATTAAACACAGTCTTAAACAACTAGAAATGCCTGGTTTATCTCTTCTTCCTCTTGTTTGGTACAAATTACAAGAAACATATTGCTAAAACCATACACAGTTTACACAAAACACTAATTAACCACAGAAACTTGGCAACTTCATCATCTATGTCAAAGAAAAAAGCAGGCAGAGTCTAAACCACTGGTGTAGTCTCTGACTTTTAAGTGTCTCACATTTCTCTAGCAGTGTAAATTATTCCCAGTATGTATCTCCTTTATACTGATAAATGGGAAAAGTGCAGTCCCAGTATAGATGAGAACTGGTAATGAATTTCTAAAATGTCTGTGCAAGCATTTTTCTTCAGTGATGATTCCTGATCTCTCACGCATTTGAACAGCACTCCAGGCCTTATAATAAAAAAAGGGCTAGGAAGTGTTGCCCACATTCTTTTTGTGGAATAACGCTTTACTGAACAGAAAATTGTTCTACTGATTTCTAATTTCATTCTCTTAAGAGTCATATTAAAAAAAACAACAATAGGTAAACAGTAGTCATTATGTCCTTCAAAGAGGTTCATGTTTTTATTTCTTTATGCCCCTAAACAGCATGGTAAGTTGGCAATTTGGCTTTATCTGAGCACCCTAAAGATACATAATGTTGACAAGATGTGATTTGCTGCAAAGATTTTGCAAGATGTGATTTGTTGCAAAGCCCCCCAAGGAGACTGTTTGCACTTGGGCTGGTTCTTTACCCTCCTTTAGAAGGTGGGAAGAGGTTGGTGGTCAGACTTCCCAGGTGGCGTATATGTAGTATTTTTTTAGGAAGTACTAAAAATGAAATACTTTATTTTGTTACCTTTTTTTTTTTTCACACATCATTGTTTGACTCGGGTGTGGAGGCCCCTTTTCTCACCTGCTTTTCAGAACAAATCATCTCAAGGGCTTCAGTAAGCAGGAAATACAGAAAAAATTGTGTTGACTTGCTCCTGAAAAACTACTGTTAGTGGGCTTTAAAACGTTCCCCTAGTATTTTCATTATTCCCTAAACATGCCCTGAGCACTAAAAATAATTCAGATGTTAAGGTAACTGACAAGCACTTAAGCATGGCCACTGCTGTTACATTAGAATCCCGACGAGGATTTTATTCACATACGTCTACTTTTCTGGTGTGAAGGTTCCCTTGTGTCGCTACGGGGAACCACTCCATGGAGAACTAGGTGAGTGAGTCTCAGAAAGAAAGCCTGCATTTGAACTTCTTCCATTCTTTCTTTTTTTCTTTGGAGCGAAGAAGCTGTTGAGAGATTATGGGAAATGAGGGAACTTTAACTTTTTTTGTCTGCAGACACTCTGGTGTTTAATAACTTCCTTCTAACAAGCACCTCCAGCATACAAAAATTTCACTGGGTATTTTCTTACACATAAACAGCTCTTTAGAGAATAAAGCCAGCCTTAGACTTGCTACTTTCGGGCCATGAACTGGACAAGGCTCTGGCAAGTGGCAGCTGTGGTGAAGTGGGTGCTGCTGGAGAGGATCAGCTTTCAGGAAGGAGCTGAGACCAGTGTTAAGTTATGATGTGGTGCTGTTTGTTGCCCAGTAGCCAGGAGAAGAAACAGTGAAAACAACCTTTTCAGGCTTTCTTTGTCAGAAGTGAAGTAATACATAGCCATCAATTGCTCCCCCTCACCACCACCTGAAAGGTTACCTTTGGAAATTCAAAGCATCTGTCCAATGACTATGGCCTCTTTTTGGTTTGTTTGGGGCTTTTTTGTTTAAGGCAGAAATGTTTCTGCATGAAACCCTTAGGAAAGTAGGTAGCTCCCGGTATGTAACATGTGCCTTGGGAACTGCTAACTTCTAGAAGCTGCAACATTACATCTAGCGCAGGCAATGGCTATCTGGGATTGCTTGCTTACTGATAGCAAGGGACACATCACCTCAAAGAAATGCGTAAGAGTTGCCAAGACAAAGTGAAGACAAAATTCTCAAAGATCTTGAAAAGTTTTAAGGCTGGGAACACTGCAGGGGTGGAGGAGCACAGAGCCAACGGTATGGAGCTGTAATAGCGGTAGGAAAGAATCCCTGAATCCTGAGTGGCATGAAAGAGCCAAGGAGGATGTACTCTGCTGTATGTGAACACTTACACTTCTAAATTAAAAAAAGCACTTAAAATCTTTGAATAAAGACTAATAATAATGTGACGTTGCTCTCCTTCTTTACTTCTCCTACCAACACAGTAGGAAAAGCGTCTGCTGCCAATCACAATTACTTTTAATTCCCAATATTCCTTAAAACACAAATGTAACATACAAATCTCTGGACCCACAAAATACTTATTTGCAAGCCTGTTTATGCACAGGTATTTTAAAAACTATCAGTTGATCCAGTTTCTTCTATCACAGTTGGAGAACTGCAGTCTGCTACTACAACATGAACTGTTGCAACTCCAAAGAGGCAGGCCAGCCAGTATAGCTAGGGAAGGCTACCAGCTAGGGCTTTATGAAAGAAATACCTTCACATATGCTTTGCATTTTCTAACTGTGCAAAAACATTCTGCATTTCTTCACGTATTGCGAAATCCCACGTAAATGGTGAAATTGCATTTTAATGAAGCATCTCTGAATATATCAAATTATAAATGGTAGATCGATGTGTTAACTGCTGTTAATTGACAGTAAGTGATTAGCTTTTGTGAAACAGTTCAACTTCGGAGACCTCACGGATTCCCAGGATTATTTTTTTTTAATGAAAAATAAAATTGCTTCTAGTGAATTTATTTTGAACTACAATTTCTGGAATTGAAGGCTGATCCTGAATTACAACAAAAGCAATACTTTAATGAAAGGTTCACGCTTTTTCTAATGTAACCTAAACTTAGAACTAGACTGACACAGATCACACTTTCATGTAAAAACCCATGAAATTCTGGACTTTCAGCTGCTTTCAGAGTGTGGTATGAGACATGTAAAGACACTCAGCACCTTTTGCTATTGAAAGCAATGTGCAGTGTCCCAGCAGAGAAGGATCTGAGCCAAAGAACAGCTTCCTTTTGAAACAGACATGTAAAAATTTCTATACCTCTGTGTGATCTTTTATATTACCGACAAACCTTTTTTTTTTCCTACTCCATTTCTTCTGTCAGCACTGAATGCCACATGGGATTCAGAAGGAGCAACCTGGACTTTTGCTTCCCTTCTTGCCCGTGACAAAACGGCTTACAGCCCGAACTCTGGTAGGTCATTAAGGTATGAAACATGCCACAGTTAGCACACTATTCCTGATGATGAACACATGGTGCAGAAGAAGTCAAATTCATATTCAAGATGCTGCTGATACAATCTACATTTGAAATTACTCATGCAATCAAGTTCCTATTGCAAAGTACATTTTTCTTAATGAACCAAAAATTATTTCAGCAATACCAGTGCTCCCTTACACCTGTGAAAAACAAGAGAGTAGTAAAATCCCCTCTACCATTTTTCTCTATCTGCATAGCCTTTTGCATAGAGGTCAAAAAGCCTTTCACCCAGAAAACAATCAGTAAATAACACTACCTACCCAGTTTGTAAAGACATGTCAGATTAATACCGTACTTACCACTCCAACAGGGAAAGCTAGAACAGCCATCATCCAGTCACGGAGGGAAATGAGCTTTTTCAGCTGCCTCTCTTGTTCTTGACTGTCATTTCCTTTAGTGAGAAGGCTGGACAGGTCCGTCAAGACGCATATCCCAAAGAAAACTGCCTGGATAACCTGCAAGGAAGGAGAACACACTCTTGAACAGTCCCTTGGCAGAGAGCAGACTGAACACAGGCAAGTGTAAAGAGTATTTGCCACAGAATTGACATGGGAATGGATAAACATCAGTCCCTTAAATATGGGTAGAGTTTGTTCACATAAAAGTCAGATGTGCTTCTAGACTGAAAGCCCTGCATACACCTTGTTCCTTATTTATGGGGAGAATAAATGGAAGTTCCAGAGGTGAGACTTCCAGACATGTGCCACCCACCCGCTGGGGACTGAACTTCAGTGGTCCCTTCCTCCTTCACTCCACACAACTCAGCGCCAAAGCCATAGCATTTGCCTCTGAGGGAGAAAAAAATGATGAATGCTCCCCGTAAAAAGAAAGGAAATTAAAAAGATGAGTGGTTCTTTCCCTTGCACCAGGAGGTCTTCCCTGGAGACCCTGTCTACCCCAAACACTCCATGTCCTTCATCAGGTGACGAAGGTGCCTGAAACTTCCTGAGTCATGGCCTGGGCTTTGCAAATCTACCACTACTTCATCTCAGGCAGCAAACGACAGAACGAGCAAGCTGCAGGAGTTATTCAAGCTTTCTTTTTGTGATGGCAGGTTGGCATTTACCTACCTTTTCCTTTTTTTGCACTTACGTATTTGTGTGCAGTATTGTAAGATTACCTGTTACATTAAGATGGTAGTTTAATCACCTGAACCCACTGATTTGGTGCCAACTTGACTTGATCTTGGTCTGATCACTGCATTTTCCTTCCTTAATTAGCTCAGTAAAATTGCAGCACATTAGCTCAGGAATGCTCTTGCCTGAGGACCTGCACATCCTTTCTAGTACCGTTCAGAGGAAGCGCATGCAGCTTGTTTACTCTCTGAGCTGGAAGCTCAGGTCAGAAACCCACACACATCAGGTAAACTCAGGTAAAAAGTTAACAAAACATGCGCTTGGTTCCCAAATTGCACAGTGATTCATCAAAAACCATAAACATATGCTTAAAATATATACTACTTGTTTCTCAGAGTAAGCATGGAGTACTAGTTTAGAAGCCTTATTTGTACATCTAAGTGTTGCTCTGACTAGGAGTCTCTGACTAAGCAGGAGACCATCCATAAGAAGCCAGATTTTGCAAAATGCACTTTTCTATGTGCACACAGCTTTGCACAATTTAGGCTATAATATGTAAAGAAAACCCCACCTTAGGCTAGGGGACACTGACTGGGAGGAAGGGAGAGGCAGAAGAAAAGGAAGGAAGGCAGGAAAGAAGGAAAAATCAAGCAGATGTTGGCTACCAGAAAGAAATGCAGAGATGTGTAATGGCTGGATGGATTAAACCACATTGCCTTCCTCAACAATCCTTACATGACCCAATTTTTTGTAAATTCTAGCTGTAAAACTGTGAACAACAGGCATTCAAATGGTTCCTGGATCTGCTTGCAATCCTGCTGCCGTTGCTCTCCCCTCTCCAGACTGTAACTACATATCCTTTGCTTGATAAATAGATGAAGCAACATTATAAAACATTCCCTGAAGCCATGAAATGTGGCATACTAGTGCTAGAGCTGTATATTGTGCTAGAAAAGGATATTAGAAAAAGTGCTTCAAATGACTGCCTGAAAAATTTACCATCTTCTACAAAATTTCTGAAAAACTTCTTATATGGAAGTGGTTTCTCCTTAGAGCTACATAATCATAAGAACTCTTAAAGCACTTTGTCATATGTGTTTGAAACAAACACTTAGTAGAAAAGAATGGTCCCATACTCAACCTTGTTTTCCACCAAACAGATGGCCTATTTGGAGAGAAGGAATAGGAAAACTAATCATGCATTAGCTTGACTTGAGAGGAGATACAATAGCATCTACTATTCACTCAAGAATGTGAATGCCAAAGAAGGAAAGTATTTAAGACAGGGCTGGAAAAAAAGTATACCTAACAGTAACGAGATCAATCTGGGTGTCAAAAAGTTTAGGCAGAGTACCAGGAAATATTTCCTAACAGTGAGCTCTGTTAGACCATAAAATAGTTTCTCAGAGGAAGTGGTGGAAGCCTCATGGCTTGAGTCACTTAAACCAATATTGGACAAAACACTCAATAATGTACTGCAGGGAACAGTATTACGCTGTCAGGGCTTGGACAAGTGACTAATGGATTGTTTGCAGCTCTAACTATGATTCCCTGAAATGGTCTCTCTCCAAAGAAACACAGATTCAAAAAATTACACACCCACTTTCTAAGGGAATTGAGATTGTACATCCACTAATCAATCACAAACCGAACAGCTTCTCTCCCGATTATCCTGTTATGAACACACCACTTCAAGGGAAAATATAATGGTATCATCGGGAATAGCTGAAAACTCCTAAAGGGAAAGAAAGTACCCAAGATTTCAGAGAGTAGGTATAAACTAAAGTATTCTACAAACAGATTAACAAATAAAAATCCATACAGGAAAGAGAAAATTACACATTTATTGAGAACATTCAGAGCCAATGAAAAAAATCATACAGTATTCAGGGGGGAACATTTCCAGCTTATTCATGCAAATAATGTACATAGAATCATAGAATCGTTAGGGTTGGGAAGGAACTTAAGATCATCTAGTTCCAACCCCCCTGCCGTGGGCAGGGACACCTCACGCTAAATCATATCACCCAAGGCCTCGTCCAACCTGGCCTTGAACACTGCCAGGGATGGAGCATTCACAACCTCCCTGGGCAACCTATTCCAGTGCCTCACCACCCTAACAGGAAAGAATTTCCTTCTTATATCCAACCTAAACTTCCCCTGTTTAAGTTTGAACCCATTACCCCTTGTCCTATCACTACAGTCCCTAATGAAGAGTCCCTCTCCAGCATCCCTAGAGGCCCCCTTCAGATACTGGAAGGCTGCTATGAGGTCTCCACACAGCCTTCTCTTCTCCAGGCTAAACAGCCCCAACTTTCTCAGCCTATCTTCATACGGGAGGTGCTCCAGTCCCCTGATCATCCCTGTGGCCCTTCTCTGGACTTGTTCCAACAGTTCCATGTCCATTTTATGTTGAGGACACCAGAACTGCACACAATACTCCAGGTGAGGTCTCACAAGAGCAGAGTAGAGGGGCAGGATCACCTCCTTCGACCTGCTGGTCACGCTCCTTTTGATGCAGCCCAGGACACTGTTGGCTTTCTGGGCAAACATACAATCATTCTAACACTTCCTTTTCTTCCTAGTGCAAGAAAACTCTTCTGACACCTAGCAGCATTTAGGATTAGACCGAGGACCTCCAGAGCTGCATGAGTCTCCAGCATAAACTGAAGAGCTGGAGTCATAATGAATTTACGTCCTTTGTGGGTCTGGCATAGGAAAAGTGCAGCATGCAGCTACTGGTGGTTTATGGTATGAAATTAATTTCTGAAGTCTATGCTTCTCAGTGTGAATGCTGCCTAACAGATGTGAAAAAGTTCACAGCAAGGGAGTAGAAACTCCCTCTAAACAATATTCTCCAAAATGCCCTGGTGTTACCTCAGATTAGGATCACATTTTTAAAACAAGGACCTTCTTTTGAAAATCTGCAGGTGGTGAATCTGTAAGTGAAACATCCCTGAGATGTTAAACGGTTAACTTAAAACAGTTTTCCCCTTGGAAATGTAAGCAATAACAGCACTTCAGAGTAAATACCTTCTAATTTTGCCTCTAACTACGGTTTGAGGGAAAACGGTGATTTAGAAGATGACAAATACAGATTTCACAGAAAACAGCCATACTTTCCTTATAGGTATAGCAGTGATAGAGCGCGCAAAACCAAGAGAATAATGGAAACGGGTATAAAATACTAACTTACTGCTGACCCCATTTTCTCCATTGAAGCCTAGGGAGGCTGCTGCTACTATAGTTGATACTACAGTACCCATAAGCTGTGATAACGTAATGACAAGTAATGAAAATGGCCATCCACAGGTACTTTTGTAACACTAAACTCTGAGCAGAAAAAATACTTAAGTTGCTGCAGGAGAAAACAGCTATGAACAGAAGATGAATCCAAACAGCCCAGAAACCCTCTCAAACGATGAGACCTATTCAGATTACATGTCAGAAAAGATTGCTCCTTATGAACAATTAGAATAAATTAATTGTACATGTCTGTCTCCTAGAAGAAAATAAAAACTTGCTTCAGTAGAACAGTTTTTCCACAAGGTGCAGGATAGCAGCTAATGACCTCCCATACTCCCCCTCATTTAATTTCTTAAGAGTCAGAAAATATATTTCCTTGTAAACCTTTCTTCAGGGCACGGAGACTCCCTTCTCCCCATGCCATGGGGCTCCACAATGCACACAAAATCTCTGCACAACTGAGGTCAAAGAAAATTCTGACACTGCTCTTACCAAGGCAGAAAATTCCCACTAAATTCACTGAATCTAACAATCACCTGCTTGTGGACTTCTTCTCTTTCAAGCTTCCTCTCCTAATCTTAAGTATTCCTCAAAGCTCAGGGCAGAACTGGAAAAGTCTGTGCAAGCACTAGTATTATTCAGGGGTATTTTTTTCCTCTAAAAACCTTTGAAAATGAAGAATTGACTGTCCTCAAGTGATCATTTTCAAGATTAAGAGCACTCACAAATTATTTCAAGTACCCCTCTATGAAATAAGGCATCTGAGTAGCCTGGCAAGTAGACAGCACTGCCAGAATAAAACAAGGCAGTAACACTCATGAAATTAACAAGAAATAACAAAGAACATGGAAAATTAAGTAACTTCTACACATTCCAAAATGCCATGTTTGCACATGAAGTGCTTGCACGTGGCTGTGTATGTGCAGGCGCACATGTATTAGGTACCTGTACCTCACTTCCCAGGTAAACTTCCACTGTTTAAAGGCAAGACTGCACTTAAGAGAGAGACATGGGAGTCTCTTAGGAAGACTAATTCGCAGTAGGGTGTCAGGAAGGCCAGTCTGACTCCTGGGGGCTGGGAAGTGTCAGGGGGCAGCGAGGTCCCATCCCACCCCAGCCAGAAGCAGGGCAGC